AGTAATTATTTATTATTATCTAATTATTATTATTAATGTTTAATTATAAAATAATGGTTTTTCATTATTATTATTTAGTATTACCTAATTATTATTACTAATATTTATTTATAAGAAAATGTTATTGTTTAGTAATTATTTAATATTATCTTATTATTAATATTATTAATTAATATTTATTTATAAAACAATAATTTTTTTTATTATTATTGTTTAATAATTATCCAGTATTATTATTAATGTTTTTTAAATGAAAAATTAAATTGTTTTTTATTATTAGTAAAAAAAAATTTTTTTATGGATAATATTTTTTATATAATAGTCCATTTCATTTTTTTATTTATAAAAAGTAAGAAAAGAAGAAATATTTGCTAATACTTTAAAAAATAAGAAAATAAAATATGTTATTATAGAAAAGATAAATCAATAAAAAATTTGAAAATTATATTATTTTCTTTTTCTTCCTCTTTTTGATTTTAATGTTTGTGCTATATTTTTTCTTATTTGTCTTCATTATTAGATTGAACTTCATCCTGTGAATCATTAATTGTATTTGGTTAAGTAGATATTAAAGTATCCTCTTCTTCTTGATCTTCTTTTGGTTGAGGTAGAGCTAAAATAAAAAGCTTTGAAATCTTTAAAGTATTTAATGAAGTAAATGTTTGATTTCTCACTCTTTTTTTATTAGTCTTTTCCAAAAGAGACTTAGCTATATCCATGGCTGATGGGGTAGAATATGTAAAAGATTCATTTGTTTGATTCTTTTTTCAAGCATAACTTGAAGATTTGTGAGATTAAATTTATTAGCAGCAATTTTAAGGTTAGTTAGTTTTATTATAATTTTCTTAAATTGAAAATTTAATATTATAAATTTATAAATAAATTTTGCAATTAAATAATTTTAATTAATTTTAATAGAGGAAAAAGATATGATGAATGATGTTATAAGACAATTGATATTCATGATAAAACAGGAGTCCTTCATACTCATCAAAATAAAAGTGAAGTCAAGAGAATGCAAATATCAATAAAGCACAAAGGTAAGTAAAATTATATATTTTTTACTAGTTAATTTTATATTAAAAATTCTAATATTTTTTCAATAATATAGAATCTCATACTTGAAAATACAGTATTGAATTGACAAATGATAAATTGTCATTAAAGAAAAAAAAGCTCTCTTTTACTATTAACAGAACTAAAGCAAAGAAAAGACATGAATATTCTGCATCAGAAAATGAGAAAATAATATTATTTAAGCTTTTTTCTTAGGCTAAAAACCAGACAGAACCTTTGAACAAAACTGATCAGTTCGTCACTGCGGCAAAGGTAAGCTGACTTGAGAATTTTTTTATTTTTATTTTTTAATATTTTTAATATTTTAATATTTTTATTTATTTTTATTTATTTAGGCTCTTCTTTTAAGCTAAGAACTGGACGGAACCTTCAACTAAAACTGACTGATTCATTATTGTGACAAAGGTAAGCTGACTAATTTTAATTATCTTTTTTATTCTTATATATTTTAGGTTAATTTGGTGCTATCTCTACTATCTCTTAGGCTAAAAATCGGACAGAACCTTCGAACGGAAGCTAAGGTTAGCTAACTAATTTTTTTTTGATTTATTTTTTTTTTTCTTATTTTAGTAATTAATTTGATTACTAATTTTATTTATTTTATCTTATTTATTTGTTTTAGGCAGTTATAGGTTGGATTGATCAGTTCATCCCTTTGGCTGAAATTATCAGATGAAACAGGATTTTCGTTACCGCTGTATATGTTTTTGATGATTTCTTTAATTATTTTAATTAGTAATCGTAATTATTGAGTCCCAATTTTTTTTTAAAAAATCATATAAACAACCATTGTTCCTATCAATATTGATATTGATATTTGAAATTGAAATTGAAATTATATTGATATAATATTGATATCAATATTGATATCAATATAAATAAAAACGGCCCCCATAGTTCCTGCATAAAGCTAACCAAATTTATACCTATTCCTTCCTTTTTAGGAATGGTCATAGCTTTCACTATATAAAGTGAATCACCTGACACCAACATCTATATGGCATAAACTGTATATAGTGTTAATATACATGCATATGAAAGGGGCTAATCTAGAAGTTTAATGTTTTAAAGTATTAACAATCTCATTTTTAGCGAAAGAAATACAATACTTATCGGGAATACTTGCGATTGCGATAGCAGCATCTAACAGCACAAACTATCATCATTTTAAAATTTCCATTGGATTCATCGTATTCAAGAGAATTTCCAATAAATTAAAGCAACCAAAACTTTATGAGAAAATAAAATATCAGCAAAGAAGAGATACATTTATGTAAATTTTCAGATCTGCATTTCTCACTTCAAGGTCATTTGCCAACACTAGAATAGCATACCCTGATAAGCCTTGATAGAAGATAATTCTGGGATCATACAAATTATTATATAAAGGTACTCAACTTGTTCTCATTTTTCTCATTTGAACATCCAAATATGAAGAGTTATTACGCAGCTGAAACACATCCCTATGAAAATCTCAAACTTTAAAATAAGCAACCAAGGGTGAAATTTGCCAATTATTAACAATAAGGCAAGAAAAATCTGTAATATTGTATGTGGGAGTACAATTTAATATAATATTAACCAGTTCGGTATTATTCTAAATCGGGTTTTTGTTGAACGATCGAACGATCGGCAAAAAATTGCTGAAATTATAAATCATAATTTGATCATCATAATAAAATACGATTTCTTTCCTAAATTTATTAAATTATAAATTTTGATGCTTATAAATGTCAACACAATTTTTTTCCAAATTAAGTCGAAATTATATCGAAATATTAGATGACGACGAATATTACGATATCACAATTGAAGTTGGAAAAGAACCAAATGTTAGAATATTCCGAGGGCACATGATTATTTTGTGCTACCGGTCTCCATATTTTCGACGAACTTTGGCAAATAAAAAGAATAATGAAGGGACCTTAACTAACATTAAATTACCAAATATTTCACCAAAAGACTTTCAAATGATTTTGAAGTAAGTATATGCCGTTGTATAGTTAAATTTTCATCCTCGTATTTATTATTATCTTTACTTTCTTTTGAATATTAAAAAATATTAAAATCATCCTTTCTTTTAATATAGGTATATGTATGGTGGAATTATTTCATTTGACGAACAAGACATTATAAACAACTTAAAATTAATGAGTGCTGCTGATGAGCTTCATCTTCAAGAATTGGTTGAATATTTACAAAAATATCTAATTGAAAAAAAAGTTTTATTGATGGAACAACATTTTGAACTTGCTTATAGAACAAGCTATCAATCTAATTCCTTTTTAGAACTTCAAAAAATATGCACAAAATTTATGGCTAAATCACCAGAAAAGGTATTCAAATCATTTGACTTTACTTCGCTACCTGAAAAATCTTTAATTTCACTTATTAAAAGGGATGATTTACAAATGAAAGAAGTTGAAGTTTGGAAACATGTATTAAAATGGGGTCTTAAAAAACATTCCACGCTTATTCCGGATCCTTTAACTTGGTCAGATGATGATTTCAAAATGTTGGAAAATACCTTGTTAAATTGTTCACCCTTTGTTAGATTTTTCAGTTTATCCTCTGAAGATTTCATCAAAAATGTTCATCCATATAAAAAGCTTTTGAAAAATCAACTTTATGAAGATTTATTAAATTCACATTTGGATCCTAATAGTAAACCAAGTGATGATATATTACTTCCTAGATTTAGAAATGTTGATGGAATTATTGATACAAGAATCGTTAATTTAAATATTGTTTCTATACTTTCGAGATGGATTGATAAGTTAGAAATTAAAAACAACTTTGCTTATGTGAGAGAACTTTATTTACCATATAAATTTAAATTATTATTAAGAGGAAGTCGAGATGGATTTACACCTAAAAAGTTTCATGAATTATGTGATAATATACCTCATACAGTCACATTCATCAAAGTAAATGGAACAGAGGAGATTCTAGGAGGATATAATCCTTCAATATGGAAGGGATCTACCTCGGGTGAAAGTGGTCAAACGAAGGATAGTTTCATATTTTCTTTTAAGAATAAGGATAAATTTAAGGATTCAATTTTAAGTCATGTGAATATTAAACATATTGCGAATGCTTTATATTATCGCGATACATTTGGTCCTGTATTTCGTAAAGATTTGTGTATTTACAATGATTCTACTAGCGAAAACGATTATAATCGTTGTTTTTGTATGCAAGCAAGATATGAAAAAAGCATAAGAGATACTGTAGATTTCAAAATTGATGATTATGAAGTATTTCAAATCTTGGAAAATGAGACAATGTAATTCAAATTACAATAGTGATTAGGATCAATAATTCTAGTTATCTAATATGGCTTATTCTGATTTAAACGTTGATTTATTAACGTAATTTTAGATAATAAAAATTTTAGTATATTATTATTATATCGCAAATTATTATTTGTTTAATCTTAATTCGGTTCGGTCATAATTATGTGTTGGAGAAATTTCCTTAATTTGCTTCACTTAATAATTTTTCTCATTTGACACTTTAGTTCATTCTCATCTTTAAGTATTACTTATATATTTGTTAAACTCCTTCCTTCCATGAAAATTACTAATTTTAATATATTAAATATATTAAATCAAAATTGCGGCTTATTGATTTTTCATCGAATGGCTGAATAATTTAATGTAAACACAATTAGGATTGGTGCTATATATTACGTCATTATTATCTTGTGTTTCATTTTCCATTGTCAATTTTATTTAAAAAATAAATTTAGTGGTTATCAAGGGAAATAAGCTATTTAACTTAATTTTAATATTTTTTGAGACATCAAAAGTATTTGTGGCATATAGCACAATTTTGTGTATGTTACACTGACTAAATATGAAATAAATTTTGTCAGCTGATCAGTCACTTTTCCTTCACTCATAGAATAACCGATATTATGAATGACGGATATTTTTGATATTGAAAAATTTAGAGATAGTTTTGAAAAATTAAACAATCAATTGGCAAATTTATTGGAGAAAAATAAGAGACTCAAACAACAAAATTTAGAACTTCAAAAAGAAAGCAGAGAGACCTTACGTATTAATTCGGAATTAAAAAAAGTTCTTCAAGAAAGCAATGACCAATCTGAAAAATTTCAAAAACAAGTTGTAGAGCTTTTATCAGATAGTAAACTGCTTATTCAAGCAAATAAAAATCTTCAAGAAAGAAATCGAGAAATCTCACATAATAATCTAGTCTTAAAAAAAGAACTCCAAGAAAGAAATGAGCAAATGAACAAGCTTCAACAACAAGTTCTAAATTTGGATAAACAAAAAAATGAAATGCAACAACTTGAAAAAATTTCTCGAAATTTAGAAAAAACTCTAGATTGGAATTTGATGAAACTAATGAGAATGATGAAAAAACCATTCCTTTAAATGATAATATCATTCAACCTGCTGACAAATTTATCAAAGTTCCTGATATTACCCCTGATTCTTTCGACCACGGTATGTAATAAAATAAACATTCACAATTATAAAGCAATAATTTTAATTATACTGATTAATCAGAAAACTTCTCTTCAGATTTGAACATTTTGCGTGAGTAACGAGTCATTTTTTTTTTGGTTTCGGTTTAGTTGGACTTTCTTCTCGATAACTCAGAGATAGATTTGATATTCTAGAAAGGTTTTTTCCTCCATTCCTTTTTTACATTATGTTTTTTAATTATTGATTATTTTTCTAATTTTTATTTTAAGGCGCTTTTTTCGCGTGACGGAGGGTCAGTTCGGTCTATTGCAGTAAGGCTTTTTTATTTTTATTATTGTTATGTTACTGTTTTTTTTTAAAAAATTTTTATAGATGATTTTTTAGGCGACATCAAATGCATTTAGATTTTTTATATTCATTAATTATTTTTAAACTTTCTTTTTTATAGCGGGTTGTATTTAGTTATCTGAATATTTCACGGTGGCTTTAATGAAATAAATCGTTATTATAATCCAATTGATTTTTTTGTTTCGTTAAAAAATTAAGATTTGGCAGAGCTTATTTCAGACCCTAAATGAACATTCCACGATTCTTTGAAACATGCTAGATTGCCTGTTGGAGAAAGATGATCTTTCAATGAAATTACAAATAAATCTTTGTAGTCATACTTTACTATTTTTTACAATGGTGGGACTAATCGTTTTTATTAGAATCTGTGGCCTCTGTCTCAAATAAAATTTCGCCAATGGGCATAATGACGAAGTATATTTATCATAGCAGCATGATTAAACTAGATTAATAATACTAAACTATCATTTATTAAATAGCATTCTTCGTTATTTAAACTGTGAAGGAAGATATTCTTGTAAGTTAAATTAGAATTTCGTATTGTATGCTTTAAAATTGAATACACTTTTAAAGAAGGCTTTTCAGAACAAACTAATTGTAAATGGCTATGGCTTGAAGATTGCTTGTTATTTTCGGTTTATTTTTTTATTTTTTTTAGATTAAAAAACCTTAACGAGAGGTTGGAGCAGGTTAAAGATTTTTAACCGGTTAAAATAGATTAATTTAACTCCGGCTGAAATTCAATTTCCGGCCAGAGTTAAGATTTTTATGGTTGTCAAAAAAATTTTCTAACTCTGGCCAAATTTATAGTACTAGCCTAAGTGGTTGGTTATAACCGGTGTTAGACCTGGAATCGTCTCAAACCAAACTAACAAAACTAATAAACTTAATAATACAATTATCTCAAAGGCCTTTCCTGAGAGAAATTAACGACAAACAAATAAAACAATTTATTATCACGATTCACTTGTGTAGTAGGTTATCACGATCAATCCTATGATGAAGACAAGA